TCGCCAAGTGAGATGGCGCCTCCCTTACTGTCCAATCGTGATACATGCATGGGCTTATGCTGCCACCTAGCCTGGCCCTATTCTACACACATAAAAGTTTTGTGTAAGCCTGCCACCCATCTACTCCAATGGCCTTGCATGCAACAGAGAAAGGAATCCCAAAGGCTGTCACGTAGCCTGAGCCAATGCTGTAAAACGTGACACCTCTTATTCGCCAAATGGGGTGGCGACACCATTCAATTTTGTACTATTTCGCCAAGTGAGATGGCGCCTCCCTTACTGTCCAATCGTGATACATGCATGGGCTGCCACCTAGCCTGCAAGAGTGACACCTTACATTATTTGTAAATGCATGCATGCATATGTGTAACTCCCTAAGCATGCAAATGTGACACCTCGCAGGCATGCAACCACTATATCAAAATTATTTGCCTATAAATACATACCTTATGAAACATCTCTCACACCCACACAACTCTCACTCTCTGCTACGAAATATTTCTTAAGTCTATCATACTCTCTATTTCTTCCTAAGTCTTTCATTCTCTCAAGCGTTCTGAAGAATGGCCCTTCTAACAATGGGAGATACTCACAGAGGCACAAGGGAAAACATTGCTGCATTTGTAAGTCTCTTCTTTGGTTATACATTTTTCATACTTTAAAAAATGTGTTGTTCATCTTAATTAATCTTACTCTTGTTTAATTATGAACTCAGGATACACAAAGATTCAGAATCCGTTCGCACAAATACCTGGCTCCCGACCCTTTTATCGTCCCTTATCTGGAATATGCAGGTTTTGGACACGTGATAAAGATCTCCAACTGCACCATTGACTCCAAATTCATCCTTGCAATGTTGGAGAGGTGGAGACCGGAGACCCATACATTTCACCTACCAATAGGTGAATGTACCATCACTCTCGAAGATGTGTACATGCTACTGGGCCTCCCTATTGACGGTAAAGCGGTGAACGGGTCGGTTCAACAACCCAACTCACAGTGTGAAGAACTGTTGGGTAGGGACATGGTAGAAGGTGGTGGAGCAAGAGGGCAGGGAATACTACTCACTGACCTGAAACGGCATTATGCAAGTATGGAATTAAATGAAAATTCCTCAGAGAATGACCGAGTAGTAAAAGCCCGAACGTATATTATTATACTTTTTGGTACTTTTTTATTTCCCGAAAGTACGGGAAATAGTGTAAATTTCATGTACTTACATTTACTAACAAATTTTGATAAAACTAGAAAATTTAGTTGGGGTTCTGCAGTATTAGCCCACCTGTACAGTTCCTTGTGCAAAAACGCAGTCAAGGAAAAATGTACATTTTATGGGTGCGCATTTTTACTACAAGCCTGGGGTTGGTGGAGGATGGAGTCCTTAAACCCCATCAACAACAACACTTTTGGTTTCCCTTACGCAACAAAGTAAGTCATTAAGTTATAGCATTTATAACTATTCTTCTCTTTCCAAAATATATGCTAAAAATAACATGTTTCTCATTTCCTATAGGTACTGCGTGAGGGGTATGGATTACAGCAAGAATCCCAGATTCAATGTCGCATTCTACCGGAATCTGTTGGATCACTTAGGCCCAGATGACGTAAGTCGTAGCTTTTAACTTTTGTTCATTTTAATTATTTATACATTACTTTTGCGCTTACCTGATTTAAATTTTATCGCAGTTCGTCTGGAGACCATATTTGGGTTTGGACCATTCTCCAAATCCAGAGGATGCAGCAACTTGGACTGCAAAGACTGCACTCATTCGGTTCAACATTGTGGAGATGCACCACAGCGACCGTGTGAAGATGCAGTTCGGAATGATCCAAGAGATACCAAGTGATCCAACGGATTTGTCCCTCTGGCATCTAAAAAGGGTCGACGCCCAGTGGAATCTAACCAACTGGAAAGACTTTGCTCCAGAATGGTGTAAAATGTGGCAAATGCGTCACCGCTACATCTTGCAATCCCCTATTTTCCTTACTCAAGGTAACATGCGACACACCGATCAATATATGTCGTGGTACAGGTCGGTTAGTAACCCAGATATGCACGTGTCTCATCCGAGGTACTTGGTTGACCCACGCACACAATGGGCACAACCCTCGATTCCCCACCAACAAACCCAAAATCCATCAACCTCAAACCAACCCCCAAGAAGAAACAGACCAACAAACACACAACCACATTCCCCACCACAACACAACTACAACCAAATGCCGTACTACCAACCACAATCACCGCCAAACTACCAATACCCAGATATGCCTCAAACCCAACCACAATACCAACCCCAATACCAGCAAACCCACATACCCCATACACAATTTCAGTCTTCCACATATCCCAATATGGGGCCCTCAACATCCAGCCTTAGCCCTGATATGGGAATGTCAGAAGATTATGACCAACCCGACCAAACCTACCATCAACCACCATATCACCAAACAACCCAACATCCACAGTACCAAACACCCCAAGATCCATTTCCTTTCTACCCCCCATACTCAGACGACCAATGCTACCGACCAACCATGGAACCCCACCCACCGCCAACACGACCAAACTTCGAGGGTATGGGTAACCGACTGTACCAGAGCGGATCTTCGAGATATGGAGATCTTACTGATTTTATGGATTCGGATCGCATTGACTTCGCTGGGCCATCGACCTTGCCGCAACAGGAAACGAGACGGCACCCAGCAAGAGAAAGGCGAGGACGGGGATGCGGAACTGGGGGTCATTACCGGGTTCCTGGGGATCATTGATGTATCTTTTTTTTTTCCAGTATTTTTTGTATCTATTTTTTTACTGTTATTTAAATGTAAAACAGTTGAATGTAATTATTTTTTTTCAAATAAAAAATAAATTTTGTTTATCTCTGTCTAATACGCAACGCGCAGGAAAGAAAAAAAATTTTTTTTTTTTGACCTAATTTTGTACCTAGGCGCCATCTCACTTGGCTTAGGGCTTGCCATTTGCCCTTAGGAGCCAAGTGAGTTGGCGCCTCCCTTATAAAAATAGGAGGATGCGCCAAATGAGATGGCTCCTCCTCTGTGGAGCCATCTCAAACATGGTTATTTGCGTAATTTTTTCGGAAACCCGGTTATTCGCGAAATATTTTTTTAATACTTGGTTATTAATAAAAAAAATTCTCTACGCTCTTCCTTTGGATATTACCAACGCCCCAATTACTCGGTAATTAGTAATATTCGCAGGAAAAATCATCTAAGTGCAACATCGCATAACAACTACTTATGGATTACTCCGTCATAGTCTTCACACTACACCTAACAAGGCCAAGATGGGTTGCGGGTTCTACGCCTTCTCAGCTTCGCAGGCTCCCAGGTCAAAAGTAGCAATGTCTTCCCAATTACTCGGTAAACAAATACTATAGTCAAAGGGGCCTCCACTGAGTGGGGGATCTCATGCCTCCTTCTTCGGGATTACTCCCTCAAAGTTAACATGACTATACCGCCCATCCTAATCCTAAGTGTAACCCCAAGTCCGGGTATAAGACTTATCAAATGAAATCACCCACCCCAACATTACAAAAGATACATCATATACAAAATAGGTGAGTAGAAATACAATGCAATTTATACAAAAGAACATAATAAAGCAATAAATAAATAAATTGGTAAAGAAAATAAAGTAAATAAATAAACACCAAAAGAAGCAAACAAACAAAACTAGGATTGACTCGCATAGGGTCCCCAACAAAGTTGCCAGCTTAAGCGACCAATAAAAAAAATAGAGCCGCCGTCAAACTATTTATCCCGCAGAAAGGGGAAATATCGAGAAAACCCCAAGAGGATGGATAAGATGGTATTGCAACCAAAAGAGAGGGTACATAAGTCGATCATGCAAGGCTAAGGTATTAGCACCCCTTACATCCGTTGTACTCAATGAGATCCATTTTGATTGTTTGTTTCTAAGGGTGCGTCTATCTAAAACTATACTTGCTAAGGGAAATAAAATGGTTTTTATTAGTGCATTCGCGAGGGTCTCGCAACCCTTTTCCTATGTATCCCGTGAAGGAATCAAAACATTGTAGTTCTTTTAGAAAATGTTGGTTTGTTGGTGTTTTTTATTGGGCAACATTGGCATACACATTCTAGCAATAGGCACGGTCTGTATCGCGGTAAAACGGATATAACATGCCATTTTTTGAGTTTGAATTTGTTGTGTGTTTTTGTTAAGTGTGAAATGAGTTTGAATAATGATTATGTGCTTTTGGATTTTTTGATAAAGGAAAGAATTTTTAGTTTTAATTAAGAAATATGCATTACAAAAGAAAAGTCTAAGGGGGAAGTCTACCCTAATGTTTTCATGTACGTTGACCTTAAAGTCTAATTCAACACAAAACGATCAAAATGAAACTAATAGCTTCATAAAATCACTTAAGGGAACACGTTATCAAGAATTGACCAAGCAATCAGACAAAACAAAAATAACAAAAGTACAAAGCTAATATTTGTGTATGATTTTCAAGTAAAGAAATAATAAAACCCTAATCTAATATTTTTGTAGAATCTTTTATATAAACAGAAAATGAAATCAAGTCAAAAAAAATAATAGAATCAAACCAAAATAAAATAAATTGACAATGAAGCCCAGGGGTGCTAAGTTGAAATCGGGTGTGTGGAAAAGAAACAAGCCTGGGCGCTTAAGGCCTAATCTTTAGGTCCAGGGAGATTTTTTTATTCATCTAGCCCTTAATTGCCAAAAAGTATGTGTGGGTCTCATAAAAATAGCATGACAAAGGAAAGCCCAAGGAATTTTGAGTTTGGTCCAAAACAAACAACAACACCATCCCAATCTAAATTCGAAGATTATTATTCAGATTATTGTGTATTCAGTTGCAAAAAAATTGAAAACGGTGGCATTTGGAATGTGTTTAGGATTAATATAAGGGCTTCACATGAAATAGACTTAACTCACTTCTTCTCTTTCAACTCAGTCTCTTCACTGCCGCCAACCTTCTCCGATCACCATGGCCAAGCTCATCACCGCCGCTCAGCCTTTGTTTCCGTAAGTAAAACTGTCTCAGCCTCACTCAGCACGATTTAATTTCTTCTCTGATCCAAGCATCGCCATCGTTTAGCGAATCCGTTCTTCCTGTTTTCTCACCGTTGGTCTCATCTCTCTATTCTTATTGAGAAACAACAAAATCTTCTTCTCAATTGCTCTCAGATCTCTCGGCTTACTTTCTTCTCTACTCTCTCAATTTCGCAAAAAACCGTGAGCTTCAACGAAATAAAACAACAACAACATGGAGGTGGAAATAGAAATTAAATGCAGGAATGGAAAATGAAGAACAACAAAATAGCATGAGTTATAGAGAAAAAAATACATGGCATGTTCTTCTTCGATCTGAAATCCTATCCAGCGACAGGTATATGATTTTTTTATTCTATTTTTTGGTTGATTGAGTACTGTGTTATTAAGCGTGAGGGTCAGAGGAGCTATGGAGCGAAGTGTGTAGTTAATGTAGCTAAAATAGTAGGTTGTTGCAGTTACAGATTATTCTTGTTACAGCAGGAGGAGTGAGGTTCTAATGCTTACAGTGTTGTGGAAGTAAAGAAGAATCAATTATGATATTGTTGATCTCAAGTTGTTGAAGTTGCAGTTATGGATACATGATGTTGAAAAGAAGATTGATGTGTAAGCAGGTTATGGATATGATGAATCATGTGAGGTTGTTGAAGTTACGGATGAGGGGTTGAGTTTTTTGTAGAGGAATTTTAGAGTTTTTGGTATTGAAAATACGCAGAGGTGTAAGGTTGATTGAGGTATCAGATTATGGGTATGATTATGGAAAGAAACAAAAGGTTTATATGATGTTTGAGGTTTTTGGTTGAAGAAGGTGTAGTAGAGGTTTTTGTGTGTTTGAGAGAGATCTCTTGGTTGAATTTGTAGCAGAGTTTTTTAGGTTTTATTCTACCAATCTCCCCCCTTTCTTTGTTGTTAACATGTTGTTTAATAGTGAGACGATTGAAAATGTTGGGAGGAAAAAAACCCGTGAGAGTAGAGGGAAAATTTGGATTAGATTAAAGTTGTTTTTTTCGTTTTTGATATACTGTTTTTTGCTTTATGGTGCAGGTTTTTATTTGGCTGTTTTTGTGCAAGGTTTGGAGCAGTTTGCAACAAGTTTTTGGACTAATTTGGGACAGGTTTCAACAAGGTTTTGGACTAGTTATGCATGTCTAAAGTAGGGCAGCAACATGTTTGTAGCAGGGCTTAATTCTTGGACTGGTTTTATGCAGGTTTTTGGAATATTTTACAAGGTCATTTTTTGGTTTATGCAGGGTTGTTTTTGTAGTTTTGTGGGAAGTAGTAGCATCATGCTTTCTTTGAAATGTTTGAACTATTTTGGTGCAAAGTTTAGACGGTTTTGGGCAGCAGCACATTTGACTTGGGCTTATTTGAAGACTTGAAGATTAGACCATTTACAATGATTGAAAAACTCAACACCCACTTTTTCAACTCCCAACACTCCACATCATTTTCTCTTTCTTCCACCTAATAACTCAACACTCATTCAACTTTTACCCTCTCCAATGGTTTTTCACTCAACACCCTACCCCACCACTTTTTATTTTCATATTCTTATTTAAATTTTATTTTTATTTTTATGATTACATAAAATTACAATTATCGATTAAAATTAAATTAAAATAATAAATACTTAATAATTTATTTTTTAATTTTTTGTAATAAAAACAAAATTTATTTAAATAATTGGATACGATACAAATCATCTTAAATTAATTTAAAATACAACACACAATTAATGTAATTAGTACGTTACAAATAATTTAAAATGCAATACAACACACAAGTAACGTAATTAGTACGATACAAATAATTTAAAATGCAATACAACACACAAATAATTCAATCACGGAACATTCCAAACTTTGTCCATATGTGCTTCACTAGATCGGCTTGCAATTCTTGATGAACATTTGGATCACGGAACTCTGATCTAGCACGCACATGATTTGCAAAAGCGGGTAACACCTCGGTCGAGTATGGTTGTGGTGCACTAGATCCACTTTCCCCAGACTGCTCAAAATCGGTCCAACGTTGAGAATATGAATCCCGTTCATCCTCAACAATCATATTATGTAATATGATGCATGACCTCATGATGATACCCAAATCAGCTATGTCCCACAAGCGAGCTGGTTCACGGATGATTTTAAATCGAGCTTGGAGCACTCCAAATGCACGTTCGATGTCCTTCCGACATCCCTCCTGAAATTTTGCAAATAATTTATCGGGTTCACTTTGAGGAAGTCTAATCGATTTGACGAAAGTTGGATAAGAAGGGTAGATACCATCAGCTAGATAGTATGCCATATTATATGGACGTTGATTCACAAAGAAATTCACACTTGGAGCCTTTCCCTATTCCACGTCATCAAACACTGGTGACCGGTCTAGAACGTTTATATCGTTCAACGTTCCCGGACATCTAAAAAAGGCATGCCAGATCCATAGGTCATGAGATGCAACTGCTTCAAGAATAACTGTGGTGGTTCCCTTATCCCCTCTAGTAAATTGTCCTTCCCATGCTTTAGGACAATTTTTCCACTCCCAGTGCATGCAGTCAATACTCCCAATCATCCCTGGGAACCCCCGCATTTCACTAACATGCAGTATTCTTTGCAGGTCATCTTGGGTTGGTGCTCTCAGATACACTTGCTCGTACAAGCGTATGATTCCTTTACAGAATCGACGTAAGCACTCCAATGCTGTAGTACCTCCTATTTTGATGTACTCATCGACCGCATCTGCTGCCACACCATATGCTAACATTCGCATTGCTGTGGTACATTTTTCTAAGGGTGATATACCTTCTTTATTGGCTGCATCAACTCGCTAGGTGAAGTAGTTATCACTACTTGAAAGGTCCCCAACGATTCGAAGGAAAACATTTTTTTCATCCGGTACCGACGACGAAACATTGCATCGTCATATGTAGGCTCATTGGCAAAGTAGTCGTCAATTAGTCTTTGGTTTGCCGCTGCATGATCTCTATTGAGATATTTTCTACTACGAGGTGCATTATCTTCCGATATTTTGTTTCTACGCTCTCTAAATCGATTGACTATATAATTTTCTTCAATTTCACGATTTTGATTGTAGGCTGCGATATCAAAATTATATTGTGATGGATCCATTTTTTTGTGATAATGGAGGTAGATTGGATGGGATTTGGGATATTGGTACATAAATGGATGTATGAGTCCCTATATATAAATGGATGTGGGTGGTGGACCACTGACGGATTCGAAATAATTTATTGTATATAGTTAATTATCAGATAAGGAATAGATTCGAATTGGGTGGTGGACCACTGACGGATTTGAAATAATTTATTGTATATAGTTAATTATCAGATAAGGAATAGATTCGAATTGGGTGGTGGACCACTGACGGATTCGAAATAATTTATTGTATAGAGTTAATTATCAGATAAGGAATAATTAAAGCAAACACTACACTGGCATATTGAAACAACAATAATTAAAGCAAACACTACACTGGCATATTGAAACAACAATAATTAAAGCAAACACTACACTGGCATATTGAAACAACAATAATTAAAGCAAACACTACACTGGCATATTGAAACAACAATAATTAAAGCAAACACAACACTGACAAATACTTCATTGAAATTAATTATCAAACAGTTCTGCCTCCAACTTTTTCAACAGCTGGTTCTTCCGGTCATCTAGATGCTCTTCGGAAGTTAGCTTTAGATACATCTTCATTTTCTTGGTTTTAGTCTTCTCCAAGGCTATATTGTTAGCCTGTTGTTGCATCAACGCTATGTTGTCCAATCGTTCAAGCTCTTTCGTCTTGAATTCTTTGTATTCAGCCCATTCTTTGTCCACCACCTCCGAGGCATATTCCTTGCTTTTCTTTTTACCCTTTTTTTTAGCTGCCTCCCTTCCTATAGGACGAGCACTGGATTCTACAGTGTTTGAGCCACATGCATCACTCTCGCGAGATCTCTTAGATCCACTACTTCCTGAGCCAATATTTCCTCCTACTTGACTACCATAACGTGGTTGATCACGGAGAGCGTGCCATTCTTCCATTAAAGTGAATTTAACATTCTTCCCACATGCATATAATTCCTGCGCTTTTGCCAAAACATCATTCTCCGACCAACCACTTCCTTGCATACGCTTAGCGCCATCATAAGCGTCAATCCATTTACCCAACACTTTGTTCATATAAATAAAACGGTTTCGGCATGCAGGTCCATCACGCGGAGGATCGAATGAGCAATGCTCATTACAATACTCAGCAATTTTACCCCAATATGTTTCACCTTTCTGGTTTCTCCCGACAACACTGCTTGTTCCAAATTTAATCCACCCACTAATTAGAACCAAATTTTGTTCAGTGTTCCATGCTGGTTGCTGAGTTTTCCTGCTCTTAGGAGTTGAATCCTCTGAATTCGGACCGACTTCATTAGAAACAATCATGCCACCAATAGTTAGTTGTGTTGAAAACTCGGGAAATTCAGGTACACCACCACTTGGAAAATTTGCATTCGCCATTGTCACATAACCATTAAACGGGGGTGTTTGAGATGGATTTCTCGGCATAGATCCATAATATGTTTGAAAGTTTGGAACAGAGGATGTCTGGTTGAAATTTGGTGGAAAACCAAAATTAGGTATGTTTTGAGGATGTTGGTTGGAAAATTGATTTGGATTTTGATAATAGTTGGGATTTTGATAATTGTTGGGATTTGGAAAATTGTTGGGATTTTGGTTAAATGGAAAATTAGCAGAATTTTGAGTGTTAAAATGATTATTGGGATCCATTTCACTAAAAAAAGACACTTAACTTCAAAATAAACACTAATAATAAAATTAAGATAGTGAAAAACTTAGTTTTTTTTTCTGTGTCCAAATCAAATGAACCAAGTCTCTATTTATAGAGAAAAAAAAATCATGAATTTTGGTAAAAAAAAAAAAAATTTAATTTGCAACGAAATAATTGAGTTCAAAGTATTAAATGGATAAAAATCTGGTCAGCCAATCAAGCACAGCCACGTGGCTGCACTTATCCCTTTTCTCTTTCTCTCTCCGCGTGGATTAAGACTCACTCTCACCCCCAGCGAGTGGGCTACACGCGCCTGGCCCAGACCAATGAGGCGCTGCCACATCATGCCCTTGGTCAGCTTCAATTGTGTTGAGTTTTCTCAACACCTCTCTCTACCAACACACACTCAACACCTCTCTCAACACCCATTGGAGGAGATTTTGCATGTTGAGTTCAAACTCAACATACCCATTGCACATGGTCTTAGGCAAATGTTTTGAAACTTGAAGATTGAAATTTAGGAATCAAATTTGTAGTGTTGTATCTAAAGAATTCATCTCGACCAATTGAATGGAAATGATATCTTATTTTGATGTAATCTCTTTGTAATTGAATGGAAATTAAATGAATTTGGAAACTTTGAATTTTGAATGTGTTTTTGTAATGCTTGTTTGAGATTTCAAAACTTTAATCTAAGTATAAGAAACTTGTGGGCTAAGCTTTGGATTCAACTTCCAAAAACCCAAGTATTCCAAATACATTCTCCTCCCATAATGAATTTTAATTTGTATGCCTTGAAACCTTATAGATGAACTATTCTTCGAGCCAAAATGAATGATGGAAAACCTTGGATGGATTTGTTATAACTTCGAATCACACCCCGGTATTGAATCTTGAATATAAAGAAAATAATCATGAATGGATTAATCCTGACTTCCTGATACTAACATTGCCTAAACGATGAGAATCCTTGCCAACACTAAAGAATTTTTGGTCAAGTGACTTTTGATTTCTCCTTGTCCATAATTCATGTTAGACTTTTGATAAACTTAAACTTGATGCTTGTATCCCAAGTTAACCTTATAAACCATGCTAATATCTTGAAGAAACTCTAATCCCAAATTTGAATCTGAGGCAATTTCGTTCGTACCATGATGCACGCCTTGTAACTCAAACAACATGAATTCTTGCACTAATGATCAATGGATCCCCAAGAGAAATATCAACGCCTTTCGTCTTAACAAAATCCTCAAAACCTTAGTTCATAAGATTCAACATTGAAATACTTTTGAAGAACACCTAACCCATGATCTTTGAGCTTGTGTAGGGAAATAAACCCAAATCTTGGTTCTTGGTGGAGGAAACCTCGCGCCTTGATGCTTGAGAAAAGGAGAATATCCTTGTAACTTGATGAGACAATAAATCCATGATAACCACACTCCAAAACCCTAATTTTGCATAGTCCACTGTTCAAGAACCTAATGGATTTGTCTTTATCTGATGAAGGAACCTCAAACCAAAATTAAACCCCGTATGGCACAACCACTGATGTTTTGAACCGCTGCTTTATTGAATAAAG